AGAGAGTTTTGTTACAGCTCTTTGAGAAGGCTAGGAAAAGAATCATACTACCCTGTCCTCCATAACAGCCTTCATCTTCTTGTCTACTTTTTTCTTTCTAGTTTCTTCTGAGAATTCATTTTTGACTTAGCAAATGGAAGCTACTTAAATCTTCAAAAACGTCTTTGGGGATACCCTTTCTTAAAGCCTGCATATAAAGGAAGAAAGTGCCATATACTAATAGGAAAAAATATTGCAGTGTAAACAATGATTACATGATAGTTTAAAAAAACATAGTAGGAAGCTGCTCTTGGGCAGTGGAATGTTAATAGTGAGGTACTCTTGGGACAGGTGTTTTTGATGTAGTCAGTAAAGATTTGGCAAGGCAAATGGACAGTGAATTGATTTAACTTGCAAATTATGCAAACAAATCAATTAAAAACCATTGGAGAAATGAAAAAACCATTGGATTTAAACACTTTGGGGTATTAAGCAACACTGCGACGAATTAGATTTTGTTTGATAAGGCACTTAATACCCATGACAGCAACATTCTGGGTTGTTCAAGCCAAGCTAACAATTAAACCTCAAGCTCTGGCGGATAAATTGGTAACCTGCAGGCATCAGGATGAAAGCATGGCCTGCCAGCCGAGCACAGAACCATGCTGCCTTAGGGTCAGTTAATTTAGCTGTCAGTCTTTTTCTAAAGGAACAAAGAGAACTACCATAAAAATTTGCCAGCGTAGCCACAGACCTATCTGTACATCTACCACGTTCATGACTGATGCTGATAAAAGCCTAATGTTATTGAAACTATAGTTACAGAGCATAGGTAGATGACTCGAATTTTAAGTAGAAATTACTTAGGAACCGGGCAGCAGCTGGAGGAGTCCTGACTCGCCGATCTCTTGCCTGATCTGGTCTTGCAAAGCAGAGGTCTCCGCAGAATTTGGCGCACTTAAATGATCCTGGCTATGACTCTAGGATCATAGATATTACTCTAGTCTCTTTGCATTCCATAAACCTGCTGATGCAACTCGCTTATCATTTTCCATGGTTTTTATACGTGAAAACTTACAAGATCCTTGGGGGTTTTAATATAGTATTTACTGTTTCCCCTCATTATTATATTTTGTTCCTTCTTATCTTGACTTCTGTACCTGTACTTGGTTCCAGTGTCCTCATTTCCCTGCTGTGTTCCAGTTTTTCAGTGGTAGTTCCTGTTGGAATCACTCTCACCACTTTTTGCAAAAGGCATTGCAAGCAACTGAGGAAGCTCCATGCTTCTGCTTAAAATGATCAGAATTGCTTCTTGCCTCACTGTCCCCTTTTCACCACCACCATGTGTGGGAAACTTTTCCTATATACATTTGCTTCTTTTCACATTTCTGATTGCAACCTCTCCAAACATTGATGCTGAACATTGATCCAAACATTGCCCTGACTGCAGTACCCACTTCTTGAATCTTTTTGGCTTCCCATCAATTTCCTCACATCTTTTCCTTACAAATCTTCTTTCAAGAACTTTTGTAAGTTTTGTCTGTATTTGATTCCATCATATTCCTCTGTCTTTTTGTTTCATCTTCCTTCTTTTTGCATTACCGGTTGCTTTGTCACCCACTATACTCAAGAGATCATAATACTCCCTTTTCCCAACTGTTGTCTGTATTCTCCAGTTATCCTAAGCTCACTGAGCCTGGGGACTTTATACTAGATACCATACAGCGCCTTCAGTGCAGGTCTTTGACTTTTTCTTTTCCTCCACTTTTTTTTTTTTTTTTTTATGATGACAACAAATGTCCAAGTCAAAACTCATAACTGCTGTCAGATCAGGGCGGGTTTGAGGAGCGTAATTTCATCTTTCTCCTGAAGCTTGGTTCAGCATGGCACAGTGGCACCTGACTGGCTCTAGAGGGAGTCAGCGAGGGCAAGCGGAGAGTTTTTTGTGCCTCACCATCAGGTAGCAGCAGCCCTAGAGGAAGCCAGGAGGCCACATTAGTGGTCCTAGGACTAGGGGCAAAGAAGAGGTAGCAACAGCCACAGGTCTGTGAGTGGATTTTCCTTTCTGTTGTTTGCTGATGTAGTTATTATCGAAAAACTTCCCTGAAAACTAGTGAGTCCTCATTCGGCAAAACTTTCATGGATTTGAGTAGGAGTAGTTAAAACTGGCTGATAAGTGAATGGTAATTCAGACCCATCAGGTAAACTCCTTGCTCTGTGAAAGTCTGTGGCAATCATAGTGTAGACTGAAAGCGAACTCTTTAACTCTGAAGCATCACTCCCAAGGAGTTACTTTAAAGTTGACCACCAGCTGTTACAATGGGAATCAGCGGAGACAGGCTGGCTTACTTGTTCAAACTAAGGTCTGATCCATTGATTTTGGGATCTGATAGCAGTCCAAATGCAGCAGAGCGCTTAAGCAAGTACGTAAAGATAGCACATAGTTTAAAAAGTCAAAGGTAAAGTGGAAGGACAAAGTACAAAAGATGTGCAGTGTTTTTTTCTTCTAACTAGCTTTAAAAAACAGTTTCCCCCCAGTTTCTGAATTTTATGTCAATGCTACCATGAAGTTTTCCCATTAAACATTTTTTAGCAATCCACATGTCTTCAACAAGTGCTGAAGAAAACCCAAAAATATGTTAAACTACTTCAGAAAAATTCCCTATTTTAGTGCCTGTTACCCAACCGCTTGCCCAGCCGCTGCAGTCAGCAAAGGCTCGCGGCCCCTTGCACCTCTGCACCCGGGGCTGGGGCAGCCCCACAGCACAGGCCTCGCCACTGCCATCGCGTGCGAGGGGCCCCGGGGGCAGAGGAGGCCAGGGCACGCGTCCCCCCACGGGGCAGCGGGTGCTGGAAGGAGGATCCGGGGAACTACAGGCCTGTCAGCCTGACCTCGGTGCTGGGGAAGGTCATGGAGCAGATCATCCTGAGTGCCATCACGCGGCACATACGGGACAACCAGGGGATCAGGCCCAGCCAGCATAGGTTTACGAAAGGCAGGCCCTGCTTGACCAACCTGATCTCCTTCTGTGACAAGGTGACCCGCTTAGTGGGTGAGGGAAAGGCTGTGGATGTTGTCTCTAACTGGACTTTAGTAAGGCCTTTGAGACTCTCTCCCACAGCATTCTCCTGGAGAAGCTGGCTGCACACGGCTTGGATGGGTGCACTCTACGCTGGGTTAAAAACTGGCTGGATGGCCAGGCCCAGAGAGTGGTGGTGAATGGAGTCAAATCCAGTTGGCGGCCAGTCACGAGTGGTGTTCCCCAGGGCTCAGTACTGGGGACAGTCCTGTTCAATACCTTCATTGATGATTTTGATAAGGTGATTGAATGTACCCTCAGCAAGTTTGCAGATGACACCAAGTTGGCTGGGAGTGTTGATCTGCTGGAGGGTAGGAATGCTCTACAGAGAGATCTGGACAGGCTGGATCAATGGGCCAAGGCCAATTGTATGAGGTTCAACAAGGCCAAGTGCCAGGTCCTGCACTTGGGTCACAACAACCCCAGGCAACGCTACAGGCTGGGGGAGGAGTGGCTGGAGAGCTGTCTGGCA